TACACACCTAAAAATCACATACATTTTTCATGAGGTAGAGGTCTACCGTATTACATAAGGAGGGTTTCATTTCCTAACTGGGAAAGTGGGCAATGTAGAGTCCACTGATAAAGTCACGCCAACCGTGACAAGTGTGCCACTGCACGTGCTATGAATTATTGTATTAACTATGGCATTGCTTATCAGCACAATAATATTTTTCAGCACTTATAAAGGCAAGAAATCTCTTCAGGGAATAAGACGAATATGAAATCATGGAGCGAACAAATACAATTTCACACTCAAACAAAAAAGCAACTGCTTTATTTAAAACATTTAATGAAATCAGAAATGTCTATAAGGCTACGTTACAGTTCCACTCAAACAGTTCTCAGTGCATAGCCATACAAAGCAGTCTTCAAAGTGATAACATTAAAAACCTTGTTTTCAAGTACACACAAACGCAATCATTTCAAAGCATGGTCCCCGCGCAGTAAACTCTCACTTCCAACAAACTGAAAGTTGAATTCATATTCAAGTCGTGAAGGTGCTGAGGTCATGTGTACATGGCTCCATGTAGATCCTCTAGTCGGTGTTCTCTTTGCCTTCTCCGTTCCTGTAAAAACAAACAAACACACTAAACACTCGGGTATATTCATAAGGTGTCACAGAAGAATACAATGAATGAATTACAGAAATAATAATGACATTAAACAGAAATCTAACCTTGTCTTTTTTGAACTCCTCATAGTCTGGATTGTCAGTGGGTAGTTCAAGTCGACACAAGGGACATGAATTGGTCTGTAACGTTATGTGGAAACACTTATGATTATGCCAAACATGAAATATTATCCACATCCCTAAGTTTGGGGTTGGTAAGATTCTTTCATGTTTCTGAAAGAAGTCTCTTATGCTCACCAAGGCTACATTTATTTAACAAAAATACAGTACTACAGTGAAATATTATAATTTAAAGTAAGTGTTTTCTGTTTAAATATATTTCAAAATTGCATCTACTCTTGACGGCAAAGCTGAATTTTCAGCAGTCATTACACCAGTCTTCAGTGTCACATGATCCTTCAGAAATCATTCCGAATTGTTATCAGTGTTTTCTTCAGGATTTGATTGATAGAGAGTTTGATTAATACGGTTTACAAAACAATACAAATTAAACACTGTTATTGTCCCTTTTAATCAACTGAATGCATTTTTGCTTACCGGAGGATCATAGAGAAAATAAAACCACTAAACATACCTTACTGAGCCAAGGCATGATGCATCCCGTGTGGAACAGATGTTTACAGGGCATCTCTCTCACAGTCTCTTGCTCCTCAAACTCCAGTAAACACACCGGACACTTCAGTGCTTTATCTGTCAAATGAAAAAAAGAGCTAGAGGAAAGCTCAAGAAGAATGATAGTCATGGACACCAAGGATTCAAGACCTTCTAATTCAATCAAACTTGCTGCCAATGCCAAACACAATAAAGCATCTATTACCAATTATCCTGTTGCTAATGTTCCTCTGTGCAATGATGTCCTCTATGAATGTGTTTGCAGATGATTATGAACGAGTAGTCTGTCACCTGCTTGTTCAGGGGAGATGATGACCACAGGAAGACTCTGAACCACGGCTTTGGCTGCAGGAGGCGGGAGACGCTGGTCCCAATCCGACAAATCAAATGAACCCGAGTCTATGTCAAGACCCTGCATCAGAGACCTATAGCCACATAACATAAACATAGTCTTAAATGAGTTATAAAGTCTTAAATGGCCGTAAAGAGTTGGGTGAAAATCAGCTACGTGTCAGATCCACGTCATATGCATCAGCTTTTAAAGAGAGAGCGCTGATTTTAAAGTGATTTAAATCAAAGAACAAAAGAAAAAGACAAATCCTTGGACTGTTCTAGTCGCTGATTAACTTTTGTAGCTTGAATAAAGATTACTATGTATAGTTTATGCATATATAATACAGTTTATGTGAAGATTGTTTTAAAATCACTTAAATTAAAAGTTGTTATATATTTCAGAGCCTATTAAATGTTAAAGGGGTCATATGACGTTGCTAAAAAGAACATTATTTTGTGTATTTGGTGTAATGAAATGTGTTTATGCGGTTTAAGGTTAAAGAATCACATTATTTTCCACATACTGTACATTATTGTTTCTCCTCTATGACCCGCCTTTCTGAAACGTGTCGATTTTTACAAAGATCATCGATCTGAAAAGCGAGGTGTGCTGTGATTGGCCAACTATCCAGTGCGTTGTGATTGGCCGAATACCTCAAGCATGTGACGGAAATGTTACGCCCCTCACCATACTGTGATGCCGTGTTCGGCCGGAGCGACAACACAAAAACATTAAAACCCATTACAAACGATGCATTTGTTGCATCCAGTGGGGACATAATTGTCTACTCTACCAGGATCAGGAAACAGTCCTCCATAAAATGTGCTGCACACATCTGAATATTTGGGTTAAACTGTTCTGGAACAGTGTTGTAAATGCAACTTAACCACTGATTTCTAGTCGTGTCCACTTTTGGAAGGCCAAACAAAGTATTTTCGCTTTCACAACGAAAAACACGGCGGCCTAGAGTGAGCGGAAGCCCCGGCTTAGCGTGAGTTGAGGTCAGGCTAGAGTGAGCAGAGGCGGTGGGGTCGAGAACGGTGCGCCCGGCGCATTC